AGGCAAGCTGTTCCACTGGTTAATTGTCCTCACTGTCAGGAAGTTTCTCCTTAATTCCAGGTTGCTTCTCTCTTTGATCAGTTTCCAACCATTGTTTCTTGTCCTACCTTCTGGTGCTTTGGTGAATAACGTGACCCCCTCTTCTTTGTGGCAACCCCTCAAATACTGGAATATGCTATCATGTCTCCCCTATTTCTTCTTTTCTTTAGACTAGCCAAACCCAAGTCCTGCAGCCATTCTTCACATGTTTTAGTCTCCAGGCCTTTGATCATCTTAGTTGCTCTTCTCTGAATTTTTTCCAAACTCTCAACATCTTTTTTGTAATATGGTGACCAAAATTGGCTGCAGTATTCCAGGTGTGGAGAGTGGGCAAGGAGAGTGAGCAGATCAGCAGCAGCAGCCTTGATGAGGAGGTAAGCACAGCCAGGCGCCCCCTCAGGGAAGTGGGACTGGAGTGGGTTGGGCTGCAGGGTCCTGGTGCCCCGGAAGCTTGAAGGCCAGGCTTGCCCTCCACTGCCCAGGGCTCCGGGCAGCCCACGCCACTGTCCAGGAGTCCCCCGTGTGGCCCAAGAGGGATGGTAAGGCTCCTCTGGTGGACCATGCCCTGGCGCCTACCCCAGTCTCATCCCCAATGAGTCACGCCCCTCGGCCATTGACATTGCTTGTCAAAGAGTTGCAAAAGGTGATCACATGACCCTGGGGATGCTGCAACAGTCATAAGTGTGAAAAATGGTCATAAGTGACTTTTTTCAATGCCGTTGTAACTTCGAATAGTCACTAAGCAAGCTGTTGTAAGTCAAGTACCTGTATTTTTAACACTTTTTTCCCTTTTTTTGGGGGGGGGAGTCATCAAGTTTTTGATACCAGGCTAGGTGACTGGTGGTACTCGAATACTGCCATATCCTAAAAGTGGTACAATCTGTGAAAAGGTTGAAAAGCCTTGATCTAAGGAATGGCCAAATATCAGACTCTAAAGCTGTATCGTGTACTGAGGAAACTGAATTGACCTGGAAGTTGGAATACACAATGTATAGGCTCTAATCACATGATATTCTTACCTGGGTTGTGAAAGATGTATTTGCATATACCCTAATATTTCCTAATAACAATGAGATAGAAAGAGCTAGTTAGCTTCAGTCGATGTTTATCCTCCTTGCTGATAAGAGAATAAATATTGAGTGGTTCTAAAAAAATGGGGAATTTCTAGAAAATATCTCTTAAGTTTTATAACTTTACTATGCAATCATCAGTTTGCAGGAACAATAATGGATATAAACAGGCTCTCCACTCTTAGTTATTTCAAATTTCTTTGGGCAATCAACTACTTGATATGGTTTTAATCTTAATCTGTAATAAAGTCATAGCATAGCTGCTATTGACTAAAACCACATCAAGCATTGTCCTCTGACAGAATGAAGTTATTACAGCCTCTTCTTTTAAATTTAGCTTGGCATCTTTTTCTCCTACTTTTCTATCATCTTAATGGAAAGCCTGATTTGTATTTCTCACAGTTAGTGTTAGATTTTATAGGTAGTCCTTAACTTACAAAAGTTCATTTAGTGACTGTTTGAAGTTACAATGGCATTGAAAAAAGTGACTTATGACCATTTTTCACACTTATGATCACTGCAACATCTCCATAGTCAAGTGATCAAAATTCAGATGCTTGGCAACTGACTCATATTTAATACTGTTACAATGTCCTGGGATCATGTGATCCTTTTTTGTGAACTTCTGATAAGCAAATTCAATGGAGAAGCCAGATTCAGTCAACAACCGTATTACTAACTTAACAACTGCAGAGATTCACCTAACAACTGTGGCAAGAAAATTCATAAAATGGAGCATAATTCACTTAACAATTGTCTTGCTTAGCTTAGCAACAGAAATTTTGGGCTCAATTGCGGTTGTAAATTGAGGACTACCTATATTTAAATGTTCGCATTCTCAGCACTCCTACTTTGGGAAACTAGCTTCCGTTATATCATTTATAAACACTGAAATTGCTTCTGGTCACTACTTTATATCAAATAAGTCCCCCATAAAAACATAAGCTAAGTAGGACTTCCGGTTTTGCGCGGTAGCGACTGGTCATGGGCTTGCGGATTCTCTGCACCCCCACGGCTAATTTCACCCTGCCAGGGACCCTAAATGGATCTAAGTCACCCCGTAGAGGCACAAAGAAAGAAGGGTGCTCCAGCGATTCTGGAACTGCGTGGCCATTCTATTTGACTTGGGGAAAGCTTTCTAACCCGACAGGAGAAAGGCTGGCCGTATTGCATCGACCAGCCCAAGCTACTAGCAACTGAAGTCCAAAAGCACTAACCAGCACAACTGTGAACAGCGTGCTTGAAACTGGGTGAGGAATTCGATCTTCTTTTTCTATTTTATATTTAATTTCCTGGAAAAGATCCCCAAGAAGCAAGATACCTCCGAAAGGGAAGGAGGAGGATTTCCGCCCCACCTTTATACTAACGGAAGCATGAATTAATCTTTTTATGGAGGATCAAAATATATGGAAGTGAAATAAACCTGAAACTTAAAACTTAAATCTGGATAAATCTAAAATTGTTTGAATGGTTAAGACTCTCATTTTAAAGATAATTGTTCATTTTGGAAATTGAAAAACAAATAGTTGTTGACACCTACTGGCAGATGAAGACTATGACAGCTATGACTTTAATATAAGACTTGGCAAAATCTGGGAAAAGCTAATCTGTGTTTGTGACCTTCAAAGCTTTAACAACAAAGAACAGCTGTGACAAAAAAAGACAATAATCTGGGCTGTAGACAAAGAGAGAATTATAAATTTCAGGAAAAAAAATCTTTTTTGAACTATTTGGATTACAAATATCTAATTGGGACTCTAAAGAGAGAAAAGAAAGGAAGAGGAAAACTCACATTCTTGGCTATCATGGATCAGAGACATGTAGAAAGAACATATCAAGAAAACATAAATACTTCACAGGAGGAGATATATAGTATACTGCAACTAATTCAAACAACAATGACTTTAAACCACAAAGAAATCCAAAACAACTTTGAAAATATAAATCAATCTATTTCTAAGTTAACTCTGCAACAAAAAAATTCCCAGAAAACAACGAGAAGGAGCAGATAAAACAGAAAAATGGATATAGAATTGAGAATAGAGACTTAAAAGATGGAACTTAACAAAACAAGGAAACATGATTTAATCCTAGTGGGAAAAAAATCACAAGAATTGGAAAAAAAACTTATCCCTTAAGACTACAAAATAAATCTGAGGACAAGAAAACAGATTAGATAAAATGGACTGTAGAGATGTCGGGAACATCGGAGAAAAGGGAAATAATAAGAGAAGCGGAGAGAAAGAAAAAAAAAGATTTTCAACAAACATGGAAAGGGAGAAGTCCCGTACAAGGACACTTCTCCTGATTTACTTTTTATATCTACAGCAACATTTACCAACACACGTAAAAACTTTTTTATTCAGCAAAATACATTGATTAAGAAAGACACTGGGCAAAAGAAAAAGACTAAAGTGGAAACTAAGAAAATAGATGATGGGATTTACCAGAGAAAATACTTTAAAAAGAAACATTTGTTTGAATATGGTTAAAGAAATAGAAAAGTTTTGGAACATATAAGTCACTCTAAGAGGGATGAATTCTTTAAATATAATATAGTATGCTTTTTTCCCTATTTTGTTCTCTTTCTTGATATGAGTAATATAAAAAAGTTGAAATGACTTAGATAAAGGAAATGTTTTAGATATTTAAATGTGATTGAATTTAAGAAAATTATAATGGATAAAAAATGTTTTGAATAAGAGTTAAAGGACTAGATGACTAGATGTATTAAATTGAATGTTTAAAGATTAAACATATTTTTAATTATGGTTAAAAAGAATAAGAAATTTAGGAAATAAATACATATCAGCTTAGGAGGGATATATATTTTAAATATTATGTTATTTTTTATGCTTTACTCTTGCTTTTCTTTCTTTCTTTTCTACTGTTTTATCTATTCCTTAAGAAATGTAAAAGTGTGAGATGGTTCATATGTAAAAATAGAGTTAAATTCTTAAACGTAATTAATTTTTGAGAAAATCTTAACCAGTAAGAATATCTAGAATTTGGTGGAGAAACAAATTAAAATAAGGACTGTAACAGGATCTATGATAAGGCAACCAGAATGATTGGATAGAAAAGAAATATTATATTGATGTGATTATTATTTCTAGGACTATTGGGAAAAAATTATATATTTATTTTTTATCTATCAAAACAATAAGAATTGTATTAACTCAATGTTTGCAAAAGAGGATATTTTGGGAAAAGAGGAAATCAACTAAAACTATTATGTGGATTATGGATTATAGAAATCAAATCGTTTTACAAATGTAACCCAGACAACACACTGTTCACCAATTATTAAGTGATTTATGTTTTAAAAAAATCAATAAAATATATTACAAAAAAACATAAGCTAAGTATCTGAGTTTGTTTTGTTGCATGACAAGTAATATGAAAAATTATAAAATGTTTCTATGATTCATCTTTTAGACTTTTTTGGTAAATATTAATTAGTCAAAGCAAATAAGCTCTTCTATCAAAAGCAAATAGAAATATATGTGTCAAAATAACTACTATATGCTGCAAAGTGCTATTTATCCACCAGTATGCTTGCTGATACTTGTAACTAGATCTGAATCAAATTCTTCTACTTTCAACTTCAAAATTCCAACACATGTTCATATACAGTAACTTGAAAATTAATGAATGGATACATAAGCATTTCTGTAAGAAGATAACCTCTAATCCCTGATATGCTGCTGAATTACAGCTCCTAGTAGTTTTCAGTACCAGTTGCTATAACATGGATAGTCGGTAATTGTTTGCCATCAACATAAATCATTGTTGGTTTCACAACTCTGCTTACATTTGCAAAGTAATTCAACAAGGATATCAACTGTTAACATTTAACCGGAATTGAGATTTTAAAAAGTTATAGGATACCTGATAGATATCAGATAGACTGCTACTGCCAGAGTCACTAGTGATGCTACATCCTGAATGACTAGATGAAACGTGGGTCACCTGTGGGTGGAGACTGTCAGTGAGGTGCAGTTTTGTAAAATCTGCAGGTAGCTGTGGACAGAAGGAGAAAATATATCTTTAGGTTTTGCATAATGGCAAAGATTTCATAAAAAATTAAAACTTCACAGTACATGTTTTTCCAAGATATAAACAAATTATTAAGCATGTTCATGGTTTAAGAATAATGTGAAGAAATATTACAAGGCAATGCTTTATATTCTTAGGTGAAAACTTTGAATGCTCATTATACTTAAAAAGCAACAGCCTTTGTTATTTTTCAAAGAAAGGAATATGCATATCTAAGACAAACCTTTCAATAAGCTATATTTAGTAGTAATTTCTACTGAAATCATTAAAAGTTTTAGAATTGATAGGAGTTACAATGAATGCAGTGAAGATTGCAAGTACTGATTTATATGAGTGAAACTCCTGTTAATTTTTAAATATAAATGCTTTGTACAGAACTAGAAACAATATTTCAGTTACTGGAATAAGTATCCATCCTTTTTGATACCTAAGGACTACAAAAAATCATTATAACCGTCAGTTTATCAGGGAAACGCTATGTGTTAGATATTAAGTATAGCCAAATTCACATTCAGTCAATTTACATTAACATCATTACACAAAAGTTATAAATAGATACAATTTATCCAAATTTCTTTAAAAATCCATAAAATAGAATTCATCCTCTACCTGAGATATTAGCAGGAAAATTTTGTTGTTTCTTACATCTAAATTCTGCTAAAATAAGATCTTTTAAATTGATGACTTACTATACTAGGATTTTAGACTTGGCAAATGCTTTTACATGTCTTCCTCATATATTAGTATGAGATTAAAAAACAAAGTGTGATTTATTTGTTGTTTAAAAAAAAGAGTATGTAATCTAAAAATTTTCCGATCCTTATTTTGGAAAGAAGTTTGTTATTTTTATAAATTAAGAACTGGTATAACATATAATATTTTCCTTAAGCTCTAATGGCAAGAATGAATCTTATGTATTCAATAACAATAATAATTTTTGGTACCAAATATGTGCAAATTTATTGAGAATTCTGATACATATCTTTTTCTAATTTCTGGAAATCTTGGCTACTTATAATTTCCAGAAGTACCAGCAACTTTGACGATCTCTTTGACACACAATAAAATTGGCTTCTTTAACCATTTTTTATTTTGGAACTGAACCAAGCATGGAAATAAATGACTAGTTCACAAATATTGAACAACAGTATACAGAAGGAAACTTAGCTCAGCTCAACTGAACTGTTCCCAATTTGAAGTGTTCAAAGAGCTGAAGGACATTTTCAAACAAGAATGCAGATATTTCCCAGCTGAATCTAAAGAAATTCACCTGATTTTGATAGCAGTAGTGATTCCCTTGTACTTTCCATCTTTGGTCTGCATTTAATCACCTACTACCGTGTTTCCCAAAAAATAAGACTGGGTCTTATATTAATTTTTGCTCCAAAAGACGCATTAGGGCTTATTTTCAGGTGATGTCTTATTTTTTTTATATACAACAGACATGTCAAACACAAGGGCTGTGGGCCAGGTGGGCCCATATCTGGCCTGCAGAGCCAACCTGGAAATGATGAGGGATAGGCCCCTACCGCCCCACCCCCAGCCCGGTGCATGCACAGGAAGCAGTGAGCACGTGGGGGGCAACAGTGTCCGGCAGCAGCCACAGCTAGCCAGTCCCTTGGCTGGCATACTCTGGGGCTGCACAGCCCGCACAGCGCAGGTGAGTCCAAGTGCTGTGATTGCCAGTCTGGCCTTCCAAGCAGCAGGAGATAGAGGCGCAGGGGGAGGCACGTGATCTGGTCCACTGAACATGCCGCACAGCCGACCTCCCACTCTATCCCACCATCTGTCTTTGCTTGCCTGCGGTCACGATGGGACAGGCAGACATGCGTCATGTCCAGTGTGCCGGATCACATACCTCCCCCGTGCTTTTGCCTTTGCATGCTGCTGTTGCTACCGCCGCGAGGTGAGGTGAGACAGGTGGCGGGGTGGGGATGGCTTGCTGTGTGGGCACAGAGTGTGTGGAGCAGCTCTGGAGCTGGGCTTGGGTGGGGTGGAGCAGGAAAGGGGACGGGGGCTCCCTACCCTTCCTGTTTGCTGGGACCATCACAGGTGTGCAGCAGAGCTAGAGGAAGAGTTTGGATGACTAGGTCCAAGTGCACAGGGGCCGTGGCATGGCATCACCCCCACCCTGCCACCTGCCTCACCTCATGGCGATGTCCCCAGCATGCGTCATGGCCGCGGGCAAGCAAAGATAAACAGTGGGATGGAGTGGGGGGGCAGCTGCGCAGCGCATCCAGATCGTGTTCCTCCCTCTCTGCCTCTGCCAGCTGCTTGGAGGGCTGGCCTGGCAGTCACAGTGCTCTGACTCACCTGCGCTACGTGGGCTACGCAGCTCCAGAGCACGCCAGCTAAGGGGCCAGCAGGCTGTGGCCCCTGCTTGCTCACTGCCTCCTGTGGGCATGCCAGGGGAGCGTCCGGCTGTGGCTGGTCCCCCGCCATGGCCCTGTTGCCCAGATATGGGCCCATCACTGGCCGAATCCGGCCCGTGGGCCTTGTATTTAACATGTCTGCATTAAATCAAGTGTTAATTGAAGACTTACGAGACAGGAGTGGCAACAAAAATGATGTCAGTTAAAAAAGATGGTCCACACAAAAGCAACAAAAAATTGCAGGCACCAAAATTCAGAAAACATTTCCTTATTTCACACGTGCATTAAGTACGTCCATTACAACATATAACGTATTGAATTATGAAACACATCCGTTCGTTATCAAGTGCATTGTGTCTGTATTTCAATTGGTCATTTGGCAAGTTCAACTGTTTACATAGGCATTTACCTCTTGTCCAAAGATGCCCGCTTGGGTATTTACAAATACTTAATTATAATTTATATTATAATTTATTTAAGTACTAATGTCAATATTATTTATTTATATTTAATTATATATGAATATTATTATTTTATAATTCAATACATTGGTCGTGTGTTGCAATGGACATACTAAATGCATCCATCTGGCTGACAATCTCAACTGGGGTTTCTTTTTGGGATAGTGCTTATATTACAAGCATCCTAAAAATGATGCTTATTTTCTGGTTGAGTCTTATTTTTGGGGAAACACAGTAGGTCTACCTTATAATTTACTTTCCATACCATCCTATTCAGTTTTGTACAGTTCAGGAATTATTTAGTGTTATAGTCATACAATGCATGTTTAAAAACATTGTACTTCCCTCTTCTACCCTCACATAACTACATAGATAGAACACTTCACAGGTGATGTTGAGGTGGGCAATTAAAGAAATACAAGGGAAAAAACATAACTTTATTAAATATTGTCACTTTTAACTAAGCTATGTAATCATATATTCTTAGACACAGATAAGTAGATTGTATGTCTGTGTGTGTGTGTGTGTGTGTGTGTGTGTGTGTGTGTGTGTGTGTGTGTGTGTGTGTAAAATAAACCAAACTTGTGTAAATATCTTTTTTTTCAAATTCAGAATAGAGCTGGAAGAGCTTTGTGGAGTCTTGTAGTCCAACTCCTTGCTCATGCAGGTGATTCTATACTATTTAAGACAAGTGGCTGTCCAGTCTCTTCTTAAAAACCTTCAGTAATGAAGCACCCAAACTTCTGAAGGCAAGCTGTTACACTAGTTAATTGTTCTCACTGCTAAGAACTTTCTCCTTAATTCCAGGTTGCTTCTCTCCTTGATTAGTTTCCATCCATTGTTTCTTATCCTGCCCTCTGGTGGAAAATAAGTCCTTTTCAACCTGCTTGGAATTTTACTTCATTGTGCTGTATCATATGTCTTGTGTTACTTTGTATCTATAAGGACTGACTAGGACAGTGATAGTGAATCTCTTGGGCTCAGTGTTATCAACAATTTGGGAAATGCCCAACTTCATTCTGCTGACATGTCACGCCTTCCGGACAAAAGGGAAGCAATTCTCTGTTCTCCCCCCTCCCCCATGTGGACCACTCTGAACAGTGGCACTTGGCAGCAGTGTCAAGACCTGGGCCTCAACTTCAGCCCTAGCATCACTGCTGCCATTCAAAAAGGCCGCCTTATGCCAATCTCCAAGGTGTGCAAGCCTTGGGAACAAAGTGATTGCCTTATGATCAAGCACTCTCCAGGATTTGCCATGTGCTGCTTACCTTCAGGTGATGCTCTCTTTCTGTTGACAGGCCCTGCAGCTTACCTGAGTCTGCTCTAGGTTGCACAAGGCCTTTGCTCTTGAAGAGCTTTGAAGAATGCTCTTCTGTGCCCTCTGAAGCCTCCGAAAACTATGTGAAAATATATCCCAGTTCTTGCATGTTTTTCAGAGACTCAGGAGGCCATATAAGAACGTACCCCATTCTCATGTGGCATCCACAGCCTCCAACAATTGCATGAGAACAGAGCGTACTTTCAAGAATAGTTGTCAGGCATTGGAACATTAGTGTATCACCCAAATTGCTGTGACATGTCACCTTTGACACACATATCATGGGTTTGCCTTCACAGGGCTAGGAAATAAAACTTGCAAGCTTGGTAGTTATTAACTGACAATATTCAACCATATATTCCTCTTAGTTAAGGTTAAATATCTCCAATATTTTCAAGTACCTCTAGTCTATAAAGAATTACAGATATGGGACAGCAGTTTGCAAACTTGAACAAGATAAAGATGTTACTAATTCCAAGGACTAAATTTAATTTAGCTATCATGAAAAGAGTTGGCAGTTTTAAAGTCCTCCTCAATCCAGCACTGGCATTGCATCACTGCAAAAGAGTAATAGCATTGAAAGTTGTTTATCAATCTAAGCCAGATAAACCAGCTGCATCATTATCTGTAGGAATCCAAGCTTCAGTGACTGATATGCTGATAATTTCAAGGTTAGATATTTATTATCATTGAGACAGAATTTGAAGATGTTCAAAAATTGCAGCTGCTACAGAATTTGGCAGCATACAGCCTTCTTCAATCTCTTTCTAATTTTCCATACTGAACTAATTTCACTATATGGAAACACCCCAGTAGCCCAACTAG